TTTACAGACGCAGAATGCTGCATCTTTCTCCCACAGAGAAGCTAGTGGGTTCAAACCACAGACTTTTCAGTGAGCATCTCAATGCCTTTATTTTAGTAGCTTAGAGCAACCATTTAATGGCCCACACTTTAAACAAGGTACAGAAACCTCGTTTATCAACATCAAATTGGATGTCTCTGTTTAGACTGGGTGGGACCTTCACATCTGACAGCAAGTGCCAACCAAGCACTTTCGGCATCATGGGATCAGAGAGAATCGCAAAAGCAGCCTCCCTGGCCTCCAGAGTCCCCAGAGGGCCTGACTCTCCTTCTCAGCACCTAGGAGGGGGTCCTGTTCTCTGCTGCCCCTGCTGAGAGATGCTGCCTTTGCATTTCTCCCCAGCCTTCATGCTGAGCTGCAACTTCCCCCGGCGGCCGGACTTTGGAGAGGTCACTGTGATGGACCTGCACTCTGGTGGGGAGGCTCACTTCCACTGCCACCTGGGCTACGAGCTCCAGGGTGCCAACGTGTTGACGTGTATCAACGCCTCCAAGCCCCACTGGAGCAGCCCGGAGCCCCTGTGTTCAGGTATGCTGGGCCCACACAGGGTCAGACTAAGGGTGGGGGGCCCAGGCAACAAGACATTTGCAGCCCAGGGAAAGAGCCTCCTCCCAATACAGAGGGCTGTTTCCCTTTCCATTTAAAACATTTTCCTTTTCATTGCAGTGAGAGCCATATAACGTAAAACATACTTACCATTGGTGACATTTCCTACAATCCCAGTGTCGTGCCGCCATCACCAACACTATCTAGTTCCAGAACTTTTTCCTCAACTCAAAAGGAGACCCCAACCCCTTATGCCGCCATGTCTCATTCTCCCATCCCACTGGCACCTGACAGCCACTAATTCCCTTACTGTCTCTGGGTTTACCTGTTCTTTCTGTGTATTCTGAACAAAAGGAAGCAGATTAGATGGGACCCGTGTTGTCTGCCGTCTCCCACGCCTTGTCTTATTGCCAAAGTTCATCCATGCTGAAATATCTGTGAGACCCTCATTCCTTTTGTGGAGGGAGAATATCTATGGTCTAAATATATAACCTTTTATTTTCATCAGCTTATGGACATTTGGGCTTTGCCTGTTTGAGGAGTGCTGCTCTAAATATTTGGGTCTGCATTTTTATTTGAACATCTGTTTTCAATCACTTTGGAAATAAATATATCTGGGAGGCTAATGGCTGGGTGGCATGGTAATCTCTTCTGCAGCAAGAGATCTCTTTAAAGGTGAAAATACAGATGTGTCACGTTGGGGCCTAGCATACACTGATGTCCGCTGTGCTGTGTCTGGTGGCCTCCCCTGCATGTGCAGACTGGGCGAGGACTAAGGAAGGCCCAAGCGGAGTTGATGCCTTTGAATTGTGGTGCTGGGGAAGAACAGTAAACGCACCACCACTCTTCAGAAGTGCACGCACATGCGAGTGAACAGAAGCACAGTCAGAATGCTCCTTAGAAGGGAGGCTGACTGGGCCTCGTGAGCGTTAGATGTGTCCTGAGGAAGGACCAGTCCCTGGAGAAGGACATTGCTGGGTAAAGTAGAAGGCCCGTGGTAAGAGGAAGCCCTTCAATGGATGGACTGACGCGGTGGCTGCAACAATAGCTACAACAACAGCTGCAACAACACAGCTACTATTATGCGATGGTACAAGGCCAGGCAGAATTGTGTTCTGTACACACGGTCACTGTAAACCAAACAACTGCCTGGTAGTGCTAGGTTTAAGTTATTGGAGAAATACCAAACTATTTTTCATAATGGCTGTGCCATTTTATACTTGTAGCCCTGTATGAAAGTATCAGTGTCTCCACCTCCTCCTCAACTTAATTTTTTTAATTATAGCCGTCCTAACGAATGTGCAACCCCAGTGGCATAGTGAGATATGTGTTGAGCTGATAACCCCAAGGTCAGACGTTTGAACCTACCAGCCACTCTGAAGAGGAAAGATGAGGCTATCTCCTCCCATCAGGATTCACAGCCTTAGAAACCCAAAGATTCCATTCTTTCCTCTAGGCGTCGGTCATTTGAACCCAGCAGTCACTCCAAGGAGGAAAGATGAGACTCTTTGTCCCCATACAGCTGCACCATCTTGAAAACCTGGTCGAGGGTCCTAGAGGGGCGCTAGGAGTCAGATGTGACTTGGTGACAGTGGGTGGGTAATCAGTGTGAAATGATAGCCCTTTAGGGAGATGAAAGGACTAATGGTGTTAAGCATCATTGTGTGTGTGAGTGTGGTTCTCTGCTTATCTCCTTTAAGGAAATGCCTATCTAAAGTTCACTGCCCATTTTCCAATTGGTTCGCCTTCTTGTATTGCTGCGTGGTAAGAGCGCCTATCTTCTGGGAACTGGCCTCTTATCCGGCACACCACACGCGAGTCCCTGCTTTGCTTCTTGGCTTTGCCTTTTCCCTTTCTTGCAAGTGTTCTCTGAGGCACAAAACACTGTCATTTTGACCAAGTCTGCGTTTCTCTTTCTCTTTTCTTGCTTGCATGTTTGGCACGCCTGTTGTAATGGGTTTTTTTGGTTTTTGTTTGTTTTTTTGTTTTTTAGCTCAATCACTAAGTGCTGAGCAGCATGCCAGAGGATATACCCTAATCAGCCCTCTCAGCAATCTTATATCCTGGGGGTCGTTTATGTCCATTTTGCAGAGGAAGAAACTGAGGCTCATGGAGGGGAAGTCACTTGCCCAAGGTCACCAAATAGGAATTGTTGAGGGCAGCCTGCTCATCTAGTCTGATGTCCTCTGGAAAGGAGAGCTGACGCTGTGCCAAGTCATGAGCCCTGGCAAGGGGGCGCGAAACACACTTCCTGCCCCATAGTCATTCATATTGAAGTGGTTGCCAGTATGCAAATGAGACCTGAATGATGGTGTTTGGAATGTCATTGGTGAGGTATTTTCCCCTCAAGAACCATTAGCAGTTTCTTTCTTCTTTTTTTTTTTTTTTTTTGTACAAGAGGGGAAGGGAGAGGGGGAGGGGGCAATTGATCTCTAAAACTCTATCATGTTCATTTTTATCTATGTATGAAATCAGAGAGAAATTAAGCCTCAATTGTGCTAAGGAAGATGAATAGGAAGTCATGGCCGGCAAATTGAAGCCAAACAGAGCTATCAGTCGGCTTAATAAGGCAAGGCAAGGAGCACAGAAGCAATAAATGAGCAACCACTTGGGACAGACAGATAGCCGGCACGCCGAACAGGGACAGCGTCCTATGTTGCCCCTGCTCCAGAGCCACCGAGCAATCACGCCAGCTGGGTCTGAGACGTCTGGTCTGTGGCAGGTGCCGTGTCAAGCCAGCCGAAAGTGTGTCATTGCCTCCTCACCACTGTCCTCTTAGGTTTACCATTTTACACGGAGTGGAACTTGAGGTTCGGCTGGGGTGAAATAGGGGCTCAGCCAAAAAGAGGGGCAACTCTCAATGAGATGGAAGGATTGACATGATCGATGAACTGAGACATGCCAGCGATTCTTGAGGACACTGGTGCGCTGTCTGCTGTCCTGAACGGAGGCCCATGCTCAGGGGCAACCATTTCCTTCTCGTCCACATATGGTCACCATGACACAGACTAGCAAAGAGAGGCCCTGGTGGTGTAGTGGTGATGCATTGGGCTGCGATCTGCATGGTCAGCAGTTCAAAACCACCAGCTTTTCCTTGAGAGAAAGATGGGGTTTTCTACTCCCTCGGACAGTTACAGTCCACAGGGGTTGCTATGAGTCAGCAGCAACTCGATGGCAGTGAGAGAACACCAGCAAAGCTTGAAGTCCAGCGGATATGTGGTGGAGGCCACAGCAGGTAAGCAATGCAGGCGAGGTGTGGACGGAGCTCTGGCTCACTTGGGAAAATGAACTTCACTGTAGCAGACAAGGGCCTAGGGCTCTGTCCGTGGTGCTGAACAGACCTCTTGGCAAGGGGTTTCCTGTTTGCCGTAGCCAAGGAGTCCAGAGCCTGCCGGGAGGGTTGCCTGCCCTTCTCTCCTACTACGAACTCCATTCACTCCTTCAATAAATGCTTAACCAACACCTAAACCAGTGCCAAGCTCTCCCCTTACCTCTCGAGGTACCGAATGGGGTAAATCATGCTTTCACTCGACATTTCTAAAGCACTTCCTGTGCTCCTCATGGAGTCCTTAGGAGGTGCCCATGGTGAACATGCTCAGTCACTAACAAAAGAGTTGGAGGTTTGATCCTCCTAGGGGTGCCTTGGAAGATAGGCCTGGCTACCGACTGCTGAAATTTCAACTATTCAAAACCCTATGGAGCACGGTTCTCCTCTGACACACGGTGAGTCCTCCAAGTCAAGGTCGGCTTGACATCGGCCAGTGGTGGTTTATGGCTTGTGCGCTTTTCTTGATCACAGGACCATTATCGTGAATAGTCCTTTACTGTTGAGTTGATTCCCGCTCATAGCGACCTCAGAGGACAGATAAGGACTGCATCCCAGGGTTCCGGAAGCTGCCAGGCTTTATGGAAGCAGGCAGCCTCATCTTTCTCCCACAGAGACGCTGGCAAGTCCAAGCCCCTGACCTTTCATTTCTCAACTTAACCCACTGTGCCACCAGGAATCCTTGCTGGAGTGAGGTTGCATCTGAGCTTGGTTCCCAACGCTGGCATTTATAGCCAGGTATCTCTAAACAAGTAGCTTCTTTTTCCTTTCATAAAATACTAGTTGTTCTTGTTGAACAAATATACACTGAGCACAGACTACACTACCTATCAGGAATTCTTCTAGGTGCTGAGGGTGCCAAAAAAAGAAAAAGCCCAACTCCTATGGAGTTTACATTGTCCACAGGGAAAACAACATAGTGAAAGAAAAAAACCAAGGCATCTATTCTGCTTCGAGTTGGTGATATGTGCTGTGAAGAGCAGCTGATCAGAAGGAGAAGGATACTGGGAGCCATCACTTGACAAGAGACCTGAAGGAAAAGAGAGGCAGTCAAGGAGTAGCTCCCTGGTGCCCACACAGTAGAGCTCAAGTCCTTCGGCCCTCTGTGATGCAGTCGCAGCTGGCCACTTGCACATTTGCTTTCGTTCCCTCTGTTGCCCTGGAAATTAAGAAGCAACCAAGAGACCTGAGGGACCAAGACGTTTCCATCTTATTTGATTCTCTTGTCACCCAGGAATGGCTCCTTGAAATCCTGGTCCTGGCACGAGACCCTGTCTGATCATGACCCTTGTTGCACTTCATCTCCCTTCCCCTCAGACTGACTGCCCACCTCTCAGAGATGTGCCCACCAGCTCACCTTGGGCTTGGAAGGTTGCCAAGATATCCCCCAAACAATAAACAAAAAAGACAGAAAGCTAAGAACCAAACAGCCCAAGAAGAATACACCTTCTATTCATGTGACTCATCCTGGTTCACCACTGACTTCTTAATATCTCTCTATTGGATTTCATGATAAAAGTAATACGTGGCTCTTATAAGAAAAATCTGAGACATCTAACATGTAAAAGGTATGAGAAAATCACTTTGCTATTCACGGCCTCAATCAATCCTAGCAAATAGCTTGTTGAAATAGATATAGCACACCTTTTACCAGCTCACTTTTTTTTACTTAGAAAGAGTATTTTCTTACATTTTGCATTATAATAACTATATGGGTGTAAAGCAATTTATTTCACCAAACATTTGTTATTGAATATTTGTTGCTTCTCATTTTTAATAGCATGCTGCTGTGTTCAGTGGGCAGAACAAAGGAGCCCCTGGAACCAAGGTGTGGGCTGAGAGGATAAGGGCTAGGAGTGGGACCTCCTAGAGCCAAGAGAGCAGAGTTGGCCTGGACGGTGGAAGTGCAGTCCATTAGCAAGGGGCCTCTTCTTGGAATCCAGAGGGGTGGCCAACACCTACCATCTGGAGGGCAGGGAGGCCTTGCCTACACTGTCTCAGAGAAGAGAGGATTCTTTTCAAGACCTGAGCGCTAAAGCCAATTGTTCCACTTGGTTTCAGACTATTTTGGTGCCCGTCGTTTCGTCTCTGCTCCAATTTCTCCCATTTATAACATAAGGGTCTACATTGTCCCTGTTCCACGTGAATGCGCTGTTAGCAGAGAGCTTGTATTCTAGATTTCACAGGCCCACAGAGGAAGAGGGATTTTGCCCCAGTATAAATAATTCCTAGAGACTCACACATATTTGATCCTGATGCTGCAGAAGGTGGGGTTTGGGACTTGGGGTGGATTTAAGATTTTTGCCAAGATGTGATGGGGTATATGGCTTCTGCAGGTGTCGAGGATGTGAATTTTAAGGGACTTGTGGATTGAATCATTGTGTGAGGTGACATTGGGTCAGTTCCAGCTCATAGCGACCCTACGCATACAGAACACAACACTGCCCAGTCGTCCACAATCCTTGTGATCATTGCTGTGTGTGAGCCCATTGTTGCAGCTGTTGTGTCAAGCCCCCCTCTTGAAGATCTTCCTCCCTTCTGCTGTCCCTCTGTTGTAACAAGCATGATGTCCTTTTGCACCCGGCCCCTTCTGCTGACATATCCAAAGTAAGTGAGATGAAGTCTTGACATTCTTGGTTCTAAGGGGCATTCTGGCTCTACTTCTCCCCAAGAATGCTTTGTTCATGCTCATGGTAGCCCACAGCACTTTCAGTGTTCCAACACCATAATCAACAGACATCGATTCTCGTCTGGTCTTCCTGGCTCACTCTCCAGCTTTCACGTGTATGTGAAGCCCTTGAAAATACTGTATTTTGGGTCAGGCACCCTTTAGTCTTCAAAAAGACAATTTTGGTTTGGGGTACTTTAAAGAGCTCTTTTGCAGCAGATTTACCCCAGGCAAAATGTCATTTTATTTCTCGACTCTGGTTTGCATGAGTTTGGATCCAAGTGAAATGAAATCCCTGACAACTCTGATCTTCTCTCCACTTCGCATGGCATCATTATTGGTCCAACTGTGGGCGTTTCCATCTTCTTTAGGTTGAGGTGTAATCCATAGGGAAGCCCTGGATCTTCATCAGCAAATGCTTCGAGTCCTCTTTACTTCCAGCAAGCAATATTGGGTTATTTGCATAGATCACAGGCTGTCCATGAGTCTTCCTCCAATCCTGATGCCACATGCTTCTTCACATATGCCACGTTCTGTGACGCTGTGCTCCACATACAGAGTGAAAGAGTGGGGAGGAAGGATTCAACCCTGGTGCACACTTTTCCTGACTGTAACCATTCAGTATTCTCTTGTTCTGCTCAAATGATTGCCTCTTGGCCCATGTACAGTGCTGAATGAGTACAATGAGGTGTTCTGGGATTCCTAGCCTTCGCAATGTTATTCATAATTTGTTATGATACACACAGTTGAACACTGTGGTGTAGTCAATAAAACACAAATAAACATCCCTCCGTGTTCTCTGATTTCAGCCAAGATCCATCTGACATCAGTAATGATATCCCTCGTCCCATGTCCTCTTTTGAATCCAGCTTGAATTTCTGTTGATGTGCTGCTGCACTCATTTTTAAATTATCTCCAATAAAGTTTTATGACATGTGATTTTAATGATCATTTCCACATTTTATTGGGTCGCCTTTCTTTGAACTGGGCACAAATATGGATCTCCTCCAATTAGTGGTCAGATAGCTGTCTTCCAAACTTCTTTTAGCACAGTGACTCTGTGTATTCCTTCCATCTTCTCTTGATGCTTCCTGCGTCCTCACATATCTTGGTTGTATGATCTTTCAGTATTGCAACCTGAGCCTTGAAGCTGTTCTTCTGTTCTGTCAGCCTGAAAAATGCCGAGCTGGTCTTCCTGTGTCAGCTCTAGAGGAAGTTTCTGCTTCTAGAAGGTCTACATGTGGCTTGATCTCTCTCTTCCACACTCTCTGCTCTGCAGAGTTGTCTAATCGTTTATCTATCTCATGAGAGATTGGCTTTCCATGGGTCTCCCCTCATTCAGTTCTCTGGGGTTTCGCTTTAGAGAATGGCAGAGGTCGTGGTGGTTCAGAGGTTATGGTGGTTCAGAGGTTATGGTGGCTCAGAGGTTATGGTGGTTCAGTGGTACAATTCCCACGTTCTATACTGAACCCGAACCAGAGCCAACCCCATGCCATCAAGTTGCATTCTGACTCACCAGGACCCTCTAGGACAGAGTAGAACAGCTCTGTGGGGTTTCAAAAGCTGTAAATCTATATGGAAGCCGACTACCTCATCTTTCTCCCATGAAGAGTGGCTGCTGGGTTTGAACCACCCACCTTCTGGTCAGCGATGGCTTAATGACTGCACCACTAGGACCTCTTCCATGATGGACTTCCCAGACAATGCCCTCCATGCGCAGCCACCATGCACGTGTCCGGGGAAACATCGATGCTACTGTGATGCTGAATAGCTTTCAGCAAGACTTCTGGACTGAGACCGATGGAGAAGAAGGGACTGGGAAAGCAGCCGATGTGCCCCCTGTGGGTTACAATCATCTGAAACACAACTGACCCTGAGGGTGACGCGAGACTGGGCAGCATTTTGTTCCACTGTGCATGGTATTGCCACGAGTCAGGGGATGGCGCAAAAGCAAGTGACACAACATGGGCTATGAATGGAATCAGAGGACAATGACTCTCTCTCTCTCTCTCTCTCTTACCATCTCTATCTCTTTCTTTCTCTCTCTCTCTCTCTGCCCTTCTCTCCACTCCCACCCTCTTCTACTTTCTGGACCCAGCTCCCTGTGGAGGTGCAGTACACAATGCCACCATCGGACGTGTCCTCTCCCCAAGTTACCCTGGAAACAACAATGGGACCCAGTTCTGCATGTGGACCATCGAAGCCCCAGAGGGCCAGAAGCTGCACCTGCATTTTGAGAGGCTGTCACTGAACGAGAAGGACAGGTAAGCCTCCAAGAGTCCCCACTGGACCCCTTCCCTTCCTAGAGGCTCAGAAGTGTGGCACTTGGACATGGTTAGACTTTGGCTGGTGAAGCTCAAGAGAGGGAACGCTGGATGGTGCTCAGTTCCAGTCTTTTCCATTCACAGATGAGCAGATGGGCCACAGAGAGGAAAGGGGCCTTGCTTCGGGTCACACAGCAGGGTAGGGGAAGAAGCAAGGAGGAACTCTAGGCCCCCTTTTCTACCATGTTACACCACCTGTTCTGTCCCTCACACATCTTTGTTTGCAGTTGAACGAGGAGGGAGCATGTCCTTGGCCCATGCTCTGTGCCCAGCCATGCATTAGGCTCCATGGAGGACAGGAAGGCCACAGAGAACATTGGTACCTGGGGTGATAGATAGAGAAGGACCCTGCTGGAGCAGCAATTAAAGGCTCAGCTGCTAACAGAAACATTGGCAGTTTAGACTCACTCAGCGCTTCGGGGGAGGGGGCGGTGGGAGGACCTGGTAGTCGACGCCTACAAAGCTTAACAGCACAGGGATGGAGTCCATTTCTGCTCATCAGGATCGTAGGACCGAATTCAACTGCTCCTTAAGGTCTCTGAGACTGTGAGTCTTTATGGGTGCCTACTGTCTCATCTTTCTCCCTTGGCGTAGCTGGTGGGTGTGGACCACCAACTTTGCAGTGTGCAGTCCACAGGCTAATCCCTAACAGCACAAGGTTTCCTTCCTAGATGGATTTCAAGCTAGAACATGCTCCAGGGAAGTTCTTCTCTAACACACAGGGTACCATGAGTTGAGAGCCGCCAACAACATCAACGTGATAGGAGGCTGGGCTGGAGACATGAGGGCTATGTACATGACAGAAGCAGGGGGATGCTAGAAGGCAATATCTAGGCCAGAGCAAGCTCATGGATTCTAAATGGTAGGCATAGAATCTACCGTCTTATATCTAGAGAACTCTGATATAGGTTCACGCTGAGTTGTTTGGGAACAGACATGGAGAACAAGGATGTGAGGGCAAGGAGCTGACTCAGTTGCTGATGTGAGGAAGCACGTGAGACTTGGGAAGGTGAGACAGAGAAGAAGAAGATCCAAGCTGTATGTCAGGGAGCAGTGAATGCTGTGGGAAAATGGGGCTCTCTCCCCTAGGCGCCTCTGGGAGACTGCATTGAGCAAGCCTCAGAGCAATTCAGTGAGAAGACTGAAGGAGCTGGGCTATTTATTCACCAAGCCCCATCCATCAAGGATTTCTCCTGGCCACACTAACTCCCCTAGAGGTTCTTTGTTGCCGCACAGCCAGAATGTTCCGTAGCAGCAAGGATGGCGAGACTTGGTCGCGTGAACTTTGTGTCCAAGGACACATCCTTGGAGAAGGGCCGCATCCTTGGTAATGTAGAGGAACAGTGAAAAGGAGGAAGGGCCTCAAGGAGGTGGGTGGACACGGTGGCTGCAACCAGAGGCTCCGCCATAACAATGACCTTGAGGGTGGCGCTGGACCAGGCAGGGTTTTGGTCTGTGGTTCATGAGGCCCGTCAGGAGTCCAAACCCACTCGGTGACCATGGGTTTGGTTTCGGTTTGGAGATTATGATTGTGGCTCTTCTAGGAAACAGAGCCAGAACATCACTGGTCTCGAAGATCCAGACGCTATGGAGAGTTTGAGGTCGTATGAGCTACTTCCTGCTTTGTCAAAACTCTTCCATTATTTGAGAGACGAACCCTGACACCTGGTCCCCAAGATTCAGCAGGATCAGCGGAATGAGAGCACTGGGCCCTCCTGGAATGGGTCCCGGTCTCACCCCAGCCCCCTCCCTCCTCAGAGCTATGAGCCCATGAGGAAATGAACAGGCTGTGACTCCAACATTGGCGCATCCAGATGGCGTTAGAAACTCTCCTGGGCAATAGAAATAAAGCCTTTTATGAGCCCCAGTAAAAAGCTCGAAGGATGAAAGAATGCCTGTGTATGACCCCATAAGAGAGACATCTCATTTGTGTACTGCTTAGCCCCCTTCCCCTCCCCCACTTTTGCATAACGTCTTCTAAACTCCTGGGACTGGCCAGAAGCCAGCTATCATATAGTGTTCCTCACAGTAAAAGTGGTTATACCCAGGATGTCCCTGGGCGGCAAAAACAGTGTGCTTTCAGCTCCTAACCTAAAGGGTGACGGGTTAGGCTCCCTGGGCAGCCTCAGAGACAGTTGAGGTCTGCTTTGTAGAGTACCGTGGAGAGGAGGGGGGGCTGGCGGGGCACGGAGTCATTGCTCAACGCTTACCTGGTGCCTTAGGACTGATGGCAGCAGCACGTGGAGATTCCGAGTGGCAGTGGGACTGTCCCGTACACTCTCCTCTAACGTAACCTCGTTTTTGTTTTCTCTTTTTTTTTAGCTTTTTGTTACGTTTGGATAAAAGTTCACAGAACAGCCTTCTCTTCCATTCAACAGTTTCTGCACGACGTGTTTTGTGACATTGACTGCCGTCTCTGCCATGTTTCAGCACTTGTCTCACTTCCTCTTTGGTTTCCATTTGTCCTTCTCTCTGTTTGGGAGTCAATGTTGGGTTTTGTTGTTGTTGTTTTTATCTTCTTTGGTTATTTGTTCTAAGGCGAGTGCACCGCTCTGGTATTACTGTACACTTTATAGGTCTAGCTATTGTTAAGGTGAAGGTGGAGCTACAGGGGTGCGTTCAGTTCCAGGCTAAAGAATATCTAAGGGGTCACAGTCTTGGGAATGACCCCAGTCTCTGTCCAACCAGTGAGTCTTTTCTGAATAGATGATTCTGAGTTTCTTTCTATATGTTTCTCCCACTCTATCCAAAACCTTCTCGTGTGATCCTGGTCAGAGAAGGCCACCGTGGTAACTGGGCACCATCTACTTCTCCTGATCTCACAGCTGTGAAGACTGGGTTTCCTGTGGCCATCAGCCCATGGGACTGCCTGAGTCTGGGGGCCTTTGTTTTCCGTCGCTCGTCCTTGCTCTGGACGGCAAGAGACCAATCGCTGCAGCTTAGATGGCTGCTCTCTGGATGTGGACGGTTATGCCAGTTGACCTAGAGGTCCCTCAAGGGTACGGTCCTGAGCCCCCAGAACCAGCTACTCATTCCCTCAAAGTGTTTGCTCATGGCGAAGGAGTTCTCATAACTTTTCCTCCTCGGCACCCCCCACCACCACAGTCATGGCTATATTTGCAGCCAAGGTAAACACACATAGACAAATATCTTCTCTCACAGACATATATGTATACATGGCTAGCATACGTATGTCATATCTGTTATGCGTGTGTGTGCATCCCCCATGAGGGCTGGGATCGGCTTGGGTGTCTGTGTGTCGGCGCAAAGATTACAGTTTGACGGTTGTAGCAGGACTGGGCGTGGGATCGTCCTGATCTTTGCTGCCTTTCCTTCTCGTGCTCCTCCCAGTATCTTCCTTTGTTTGGTCAAATGGTACTAATCCCCGCCCCCTTTATCATACATTGCCTTCCCTTCCCCCAAGTTCATCCGTGCCCACTCGCTAGTTAGTGCTTTTTACCCTCCCTGCCCTGGGCACCTTTGAAGCACATTTCTCTTTGTGCGTCAACCTTTTTTCTGGCCCCCGTAGCATAATGGTCTTAGACCATCTGGGTCCTCCTGCGAACCATGTCTTGTGCTCAGCGTCACCTCGTCTGGGTTCTGCCATCCTGTTTCCAGGACTCTCTAATAAGCAATGCAGTTTAAAATTCGTTTGTGCATCTATAGCACAGGGATCTAGTTATAGACCCTCCATGAGGCTGTACCCAGGCTGTGTCTGGCTTTTTGCCCTTGTGGACAGTGCGGCAGGGAGTGATTGGTGGTCGGACTCCTATTTTTCTGAGATGTCCTTGAAGGGACTTCCAAAAGGTCAAGGCAAAGCTCCCTTCCTGTCATTCCATCTTCCCACAGACTGGTCTAGACCCCACCACTACCTTGTACCTAGTAGTAGGATTGCTGGCTGACTGGTCCACTTTCGATAATGAATGGACCATTCTACAGACACACCAGTGGTGTACATGGTTCGAGTCTGTCTGCACCCTCCCCGGGATTTGCTGCTCTCTCATCTTGTTTTGTTTGATTCTTTGTTGTTTTCTTGTGTTTTATTTTCGCTTTACAACTGATGCTGGAGTGAGATGTTCTTTCATCGTTGTTTTGATTTGCATCTCTCCGATGGCTAGTCTTCCTGTGTCCACTGGCTACCTGAGAGTCTTCTCTTGGCGAAGTGTCTGCTCGTGTCCTCAGCCCTCGGCCGTCGTATCTGTGGGAGCAGATCACCAGGTCTTGCTCCCGCAGTTCCACGGGGGTTAGCCTTTGGATTAGCAGTCATGTGCTTAAGCACTGTGTCACTAAGGCGCCTACTCTATAGCTTTCTGACTCACTTCCTGGTCCTCAACTGTCGGATTAGGGACAAGCTGCTGCCAGTGGTTCCCCCTGCGTCTAGGGAAACATTGCCGCACTGGTTTCAGACTGACCATTCTCTCATGTAAAGCAGAAGTCGATACAACTGTAAGAGAAAGCCCACAGGTCAGTGCCTTGTGCAGGCTTCCGAGAGACTGTGACAGCTGCTGCTCTTGTTGGGTGCCATCAAGTCCGTTGGCACCAGCTCACCAGGGTCCGTGTCCCCGAGCCGAACTACCCGCCAGCTTTCCTCAACTGTCATTTCCAGGGGTTCACGTGACCAGGCCCCTCTTCCACAGAGCCCCAGGCTGAGTCAGTGTGGGCTTGCTGCTGAGTGCTTGACCTCTGTGCCACCAGGGCTCTTGGCTTTTTCAGTTCAGAGCTAGAAACTCATGCCTACGTATTGCAATTGGGTGAAATAGAGGGGCTACGATGAAAGAACATGAAGACTTCATGTTGGTCCAAGGCCTTGGCCTTCAGCAGACTTTATTGTGCCGTCTCCTCAAGCCCTACCCGAGGGTGGGTCAGAACCCCTAGCAGGTCTCCTGTGATAGCCCAGGAAATGGATTTTCCAAGGCGTCTGGCGGTGTGTGCAGGTTTGCTCTGTGGGGGGTTCTTGAACCCTGAGAAGCCCCCAGACCATGCTTTCTGGAGATAAGAGTCAGAGACAGGGACTGTTGAGTGAACTTGATGTATATGCCGGCTCTGGGCTGGGCACGTTTAGAAAGGCCCTATGATCTACTTCCAAGAAGCCAACCATTGAAAATGTCCTGGGGCAACACAGCTCAGCTTGGCTGCACGTCAGAGTCAACTTGCTGGAGACTCTGAAGTACGGCTGTACCCACTGGACAGACGAGGACACAGAGGTTCACCAGGGTTAAGTGTCCTTGGCCCAAGTCAGGATCCAGACCCAGGGCTGTGTAAGGCTGCAGGCCAATGTGCTCAGGCGTGATCCAGGCCTAGTATCCCATCTCCTTATGCTAGCATTGCCCATGATCCTAATACTCAGCATCATTTAACGGAGCTGGTTCGTTGCATCGTGGCCTCCTTTCCCCACCATCTCAGAGCAGGCTCGTGAGGAGTTGAACCTCGTTCTACAGAGGGGGACACAGGTTCCAGCAGGTGTGACAGCTAATTGAGGCAAGCAAGGGTTAAAGTCAGGATGTGAGCCAAGGGATGAAGCGTGTGCTCTGCCCACCCTCTTCCGGTCACCCTGCATGTCAAGGACCCAAGCAGGACCTCTCAGTCCCTTCTTTCCTTCCTCGGCTTCCAGGATGATGGTCTTCAGTGGACGGACCAACACATCCACGCTTCTCTATGATTCCCTCCACACCGACAGTGTCCCGTTTGAGGGCCTGCTGAGTGAGAGCAACGCCATCCGCATCGAGTTCACGTCCCACCTGGCCCAGGTGGCCTCAGCCTTCAACATCCGATTTGAGGGTGAGGGTCTCTGGGGGCTTCTCTTCTTGTAGTGTTTGGTGTGGTGGGAGCTGGGGGAGGACGGTGGGACAGGGCAGGGTCCTGGAACATCCAAACCAGGACTGCGAATGAATGAGAAAACCCAGTGGCCAAATGGTACCCTCAATCTTCCAAAGGCCGACGTGGCTCTGTGGACAACAGTGCCTACTGGTGGTTAATCGAACACTTATTATGTGCCGCGAGTGCCAGGAATAGCCCAGTCCATCCTCCACCACTCTGTGCGGTGGGAACTTCGACGGTCTCCGCTGTTGGAGGAGGGAGCTGAGGTCTGGAGAAAGGAGGTGGCTTATCCACAGTCCCCACTGGTAAGAATGGAGCTAGGATCCCAGGGGAGCCCAAGTTCTTGCCCACAAGCTCATCAACATACTCTGCCCAGGGAGGCCTGGTAGACTCCCACTCCCTCTTCCTCCAAGAAAAGAGGGGACAAGCCTGCCTGCTCAGCCCCTGCCACCTTGGAGTACTGAAGGAGCCCCGGTGGCATCGTGGTTTCAAGTTGGGCTGCTAATGGGGAGGTCAGCAGTAAGCCACCACCAGCCGCTCCTCAGGAGAAAGAGGAGGCTTTCTACTCCCGTAAGCAGCTACAGTCTCGGAAACTCACAGAGGCGATTCTCCGCTGTCCTATAGAATCCCTGTGAGTTTCAGTGAGTTTGGGGCAATTATCTGGTCTGGCTTCTCCAAGAGGAGTTGGCCTTTCTCATAGACAGTGCTGGTGTTCAAGGGCAGAAAGCAAGACCCTGAGGGCAGGGAACCTGGAACAAGTAAGAAGGGGCTTCAGAAAGTAGATGGGAAAATACCATTGCCTTCTCATTGCCTTTGTCCATGAACTTTTTGAAACCCCCTGATAGTTTGATGTGAGTGGGAATTCAAAGACACTTTCTGCAGGTTGAGTGGGAAGAGATTGACATCCCCATTTTAGAGATGAGAAAAGTGGGGCCCCCAAAATGTCAGCTCTGGGACTCATCTTCTGAGCCACCTCACTCACTGGAGGGTGTACAACCACCCACTTGACCTGCTACCTCTTTTGTCTCCCCTGCCCCCTCCAGCTTTTGAGAAAGGCCACTGCTATGAGCCGTATATTCAGAATGGGAACTTCACCACATCAGACCCGACCTATAACATTGGGACCACGGTGGAGTTCACTTGTGACCCCGGCCACTCTCTGGAGCAGGGTCCAGCCATCATCGAATGCATCAATGTCCGGGACCCTTACTGGAATGACACGGAGCCCGTCTGCAGAGGTGAATGGTGCCCTGAGAACCATACCCCTTAGATGCTCCAGCCCGGGGCATGCCACCAATTTATAGAATCAGTCTGAGGCTTAGAACCCTCTCGGGGGTCCTTGTCCTTTGGGTCAGGGCTCCTGGTGGCCCTTGGACAAATTTAAAAACAGACATTTTTAAAGGATCTCCTTCCTTCAGGGACACCCCACCATTCACAGCTTGATGGGCAGATTTCAGCTTGGGTTTGAGCCCCTGGGCAGGGCACAACCCACCCAACAGCACATGGCAGACTGCAGTGTATTCATTCATAAGGCGATGATAATATTTTTATTAGACTGTCTCTCTGCCAAGCACATTAGCTAATCTGATCCTCACCACAGTGCTTGCTGTTGGTAAGTGCCATGGAGTTGATTCTGACCCATAGCAACCAGGGACACAACAGAACCATGCCTTGCCTTCTACACAATGGTTGCTCGATGCCATGCCTTCTACACAATGGTTGCTACGTTGGAGCCCATTGTTGCCACCGCTGTGTCCATCCATCTCATTGAGGGTCTTCCTCTTTCTCATTGACCTTCTACTTCACCAGCATGCTGTCCTTCTCCAGGGACTCGTCCCTCCTGATGACATGTCCCAAGCAGGTGAGACACAGCCTCGCCATGCTTGCTTACAAGAAGCACCAGTGCACGTCTTCCCCAACAGAGGCGCTCATTCTGCATAGCCCCTCTACAGGCGAGCAAGTGAAGGCATTGAAGTGTTGTGTCTTCAAGTGCCCTGGAGGGGGGTGTCATCCGGACCCCGATCCCTCTGGATGATGTAGGCTGTGTAGAACCATCACCCATAGGACTTGTTTCCTTGGGTCTAAGTTTGTTGAGGTGCTGGAAGCCTGTGGAATAAGTGAAAGGGAGTCCTAATGGCCACTGCCTGGATACTGGCTGGCATGAAGTCCCGGCCTCTTCGTGGTGAGGGATGGATCTTTGCCTTAAAGGTGGTGGTTTAACAGAGTGGGATTTATCGGGGCGCTGGCCTCTGCCATGTTGAGAAGTTTCCAGAGCAATAAACACTGAATGGAATGTGTGGAGCGGGTGCCAGCCGAGCCCGGGCTCTGCTTCCAGCTTGGGGCTGGTGCCTCTCAATGCTGTCAGCTAAGGCTACTGAGCACGCACCACATGCCGGGTGCTTGGACAGCCCAGGCTTGATGAAGCCTTGACCTGACCCAGTGCGGTCGGTCTTGGCCTTTCTCCCACTCTGAAAGGACGGGGGAGCCCTGCTGGTGCAGTGGTTAAGCACTCAGCTGCTAACCAAAGAGTTGACCGTTCAAACTCATCGGCTGCTCTGAGCAGAAGATGAGCAATCTGTTCCCGTCAAGATCTCAGCCTCGGAAGCCCTGCGAAGCAGTTCTACTCTGTCCTGTAGGGCTGCCATGAGTTGCCATCGACTCCATGGCAAGGGCTTTGGTTTGGGTTTTTGGAATCCATGCTCTAACGCAAAGGTCAGTGGTTCTAAACCACAGTCACTCCATGGGAGAAAGAGGTGGCCATCAGCTTCCATCAAGATCACAGCCTCCTACTCTGTTGCTAGAGGGTGGCTGTGAGTTGGAATAGATGCAATGGCAGCAGGACTATCAAGGAAAGGTAATGAGGTTCTGAGACTGGCTGTGTTTCATCTGCAGTCACAGCTCCTAGTGTGAGAGGCAAGATTTGAACCCAAGTCTAGGTGATTTGCGTTCACTCTCTCTGTCTTACTGACCTAGAGTAGTTATAACGGAAATACCTTGAGGGTGTGGCTTAAACAAACAGATATTGACCTCCTCACAGTCAACTTTGGTTCCCAAAGTCTAACCAAGCTCACTGCCATGGGCCAACCTTGACCCACAGCAACACTTCAGTGACCCTCAAGGGCAGAATAGAGCTGTGCGCCTGGGTGTTTTACAGGAGCTGAAAGCCTCACTTTTCTCCCTTGGAACAGCTGGTGGGTTAGAGATGCAGACCTTGTGGTTAGCAACCCATTGTGTGACCCACTCCTCTGCCACAGCACTTTTTCTCGTGGTTAAGAGGCTAGACGTCTGAATCCAGTGT